ATTTACAGTACAATTTAACTTGCTGTACATGTATTTACAGTATGTGTACTGTACTTTTACAGTTTTTACTGTCGTTTGAACAGCCTTTCTTGACTAGCATGAGTCACACGAAAAATGCTTCGGTGTATAAAAGGTATAATACCCTTGCTGATAGGGTTTTTTATTATCATTATTTTGCTTTTAATTAAACCAACAAATAACCCCTAAAATTACACTGACATAAAATATGTAATGAAAAAGCAGGAATATTGTACATACATTTGCAGCTGCGAGGTGTGTGCTTTCGCGCTCATTTTTTTTAAACTGTATTTGGATTTACAGTAAATGAAAAATACTGTATTTTAATGGCGCCAAGAGGATATTTCCCATAATGCAACTTTAAAATACAGTAACGTACTGTATAACTGTTTTACAGTAAAGTACAGTTCATATTACAGTTAAATACTGTGTAATTTACAGAAATCGCTAACAGTGTGTTGCCGTCTGGTCCGCGCTAAAGAGCACTGAGCACCAGAATGGCCAGGCATAACACACTTGTACACACAAATACCATCTATTGTCTACTTTGTATATTTTTTTGTATATTATTTCCTATTTACTTATCCTATTTTTATTCTTTTTATTATCTCTGTCTTGTCTTGTCACTGTCATTCTGTTTGTGCTGTGGAAGCTTCTGTCACCAAAACAAATTCCTTGTATGTGTAAACATATATGGCAATAAAGTTCTTTCTGATTCTGATTCTGATATGATTTATTTTCCAGTGTTACAATATTGCCCCCAAACACTGTTACAGTCACCCCCACCAAGTGGGCAATTGTAATGCTCTAACTTATTGCATTTAATTTAATATTATAGTCTTGTCCTTATTAGTGAAAATATATCAATTGTATTATTAATTACTGCACCTATATTAGTTTCTTATATCAAAAGATGACTAGTGTATTTCAAGTAGTCTGGGAGTTATGAAGGAAAATGTAAAAGACAATTGCCTAATTTTTATGTAATTAAGCGCCAAGGTAATAAAAACTAAGTACACTATATATAAACAAAGTATACAACATATATATAAACAAAGTATACTATATATTATAAATATACATTAACATTTTTTAATTTTTAAAAATGAATATAACCATGGAAATACATTATTACAGTCTGCGAAAAGGTTCCACTGAACAACTGTGAACGCTAATTTAACCAAGGAAACTCAGAGTAGTGGTGTTTCGTTCCTTAATGAATCAGTGTGTTTGAATTGACTTAGTAAATTATTCAATGATTCATTCATGTAGACACTCACTTGTATCGTTCTTGAATGAATCGGGGTTTTTTTTAACAAATCTATTGAATCAGTCAATGACTCACTAAAAACAATCACTGAAAAGTCACTGAACAGTCACAGTCACTGAAAACAGTGTCAAGTTTTTTTTAAATGTTCAAATGTTTTTGAGCCATTTGTCTCTCCTCCAGGCTTAAATGAAACATTTAACCTTTTGAAATAACTATTTCGCCTTTCAAATACAGCCAAAACACATCTAAATATTAGATAGTAGAGCCTGAACGAACTAATAATAGCACAGTCAGAAAAAAAATCATTTAGATGTGAAAAAGACAAATGTTGGTTTTGACCTGGCCACCATTTTCAGTTTTAATGCTGTTATTTAAGCTTTACAACTGCACTACTGAATTCCATCACACTACAGACGTGCACTGTATTTTGTTGTTTTATCAAGGACAGACAAGAAACGTTGCGCACAAGAGCAAGTAGAGAAATTTAGGAGCTCATATCCCTGAGGGCAGGCCGGGGCCTCCTTAATGCATGTCTGTTCCACTGCACTGAGGAAGCCACAATCCTTTGCCCTTATCAAGAGCCAGCAAATGTTCTAAGCCTGTCCAAATCCTCCTTCCTCCTGAAAACAACCCAGTTCTGCCTGAAATAGCCATCCAGATTCTGCTGTCGAGCCCTAAAGAACCACAAACTGACTCTGTCATTTATAGCCCAGGTGAGGTGTCACACTCAAGACAATGAAAAAGGAAATGGGTATGAAAAAGTCCTATGGTTGCCTATGAAAATGTTCTAGCGAATGCAAACACAATGGCTATGAAATCACGGTACAGAAGGACCAAACGTGTAGGTGTGAAAGGTTTTATTTTTATAAACAAAGCAAACAAAGATTCCTCATCCTCCAAAAATATGACTCATTTTAAATCACATATTACAAATTTTACTGCTTGGATATCTCACTTTTGTTCATTTGTTGAAATCAATTGAATGATTGTAAAAAAAAAAAAAGTTTAGTTTAAGGATACTAAAAACCTGAACAGTCCCTGCTTGTGGTGAACTGGTTTCTCTATATTTTTCCTGTAAGGTTGCATTGCTTTTATAATATTGGCACAAGTTCTTCAGGTCTTTTGCTTTAGATTATACAGTTCCGTTTTCAGCACCATGGACAGCAAAAGATGCTTGTCTTTGTAAAAAATCAAAATAGTGTATTATTTCTAATATTTCTTGTTGAATATCTTTTGTAGATGTAAAGACATCTGTATCGTCGTAATTATCATTTATTATATTATATTATATTATTCACAACCCTTAATGACTGACATAAGTACAGGGTACTTAAGTAGGGCAAATCCTTTTTGTAGAATATATTGTTGCATCATATTTTGTAAGTAACCAGTCAATAAATATGACATTTTCTACACTAAAATTTGTTAAAATACAACACATCAAAATATACATTAAAAAGATACATTAAAATTGAATAAATAAGTAGCTATCTGCATTTCTTTTAAGAGTTCTGGCTCTTAAAATGCAAATAATACTGATAGAATTTCACGTTGTTTAAAGTATTCACCACATCTATTATTTGTCTTCAGTTGCCACAGCTGAATTATTTGTTAGGTTTTCTCAACAAAAAAGTTCATCTGACAATATAAGCGATGATTTTTGTGTCTCATCCTCATCACCACGGGAACCGCACAGCTGCTTGTCGCCACAAATTACTCACTACGGGCTTCAGCACGGGACATGATTTGGATTTAGACGACAGAGTCAGGAAATTCCTTCAGGAGATGTTTGTCAAAGAGAGGAACAGGCTTTTGTTCAAAGGTTTTTCTGTGTACATGTCTGCTGAAGGCTTAGTGTCCGTAATTGAATGTTTGTGTTTTGAAGGTGTCATGGCTCCTGCCTCTGGGCGCAATTTGGAAATAAAAGATTTGCAGATTCTTAGCAATCTCAGTAGCTTGCATTTGATACAAAACAACTTTATTCAGTGTCATTAACGCCGTAGAGGAGCTATTCTCTGGTTTGTATTCAGAAGAACAACTTTTCCAGGTTTCAATAAGCCTGTGACAAAAGCATAATGGACTCAAAACTGTCAGCGTCTAGTGGATTTGGGTTTCGAGTCACACTGAGAAGTCTGTTTTCTTCAACACCCACATGTCCCTCTAGGAAAGCTGCTGGCAGTGTGCCCTGCGGTGCCAGCAAGCAGGGTTGGCTTTATGAGGATGACTCATGAGACTCAAGTTAGCTTACAGCCCTCCTTAAATCCAGCAGCCACCAGTGCTTTATAAGCTTCACTCTGAGACCAGCCAGAAAATACACCTCTGGGCAAAACAGATTATGGCAAATGTGTATTTAAAATATGATTAATCAGTTGTTCCAACACCAGTCCACCCCCGATTCCTAATTGGGCCTAAGTGGGCTTTTTGCATATGAAAAATTTTATGAGTATAACACGCAGGCCTATTTCCATCTGTGTTGATCCTGGGTATTCTAGCTTATTTTGAACCTGTTGCTCATTGGTTCAGCTGTCTGCATTGGAGATATGGGGAAAAAAAATGAATTAATATGCTTACTGAGTCCTCTGAGCTTCTGCCAAGAAATAATGCAGTTTTTTTTAAAGAGTGAAATACAACACTATGCCTCCCAGAGTAGCTGTGAATTAACTTTCATAGCAAAAGTGGATAAGAAAAAAAAAGCGGTGACTGACTACTGGTGTGAACAAAATGAATGCAAATGTTTTAAATTATTGCTTTGTGCTTCTATTCCAGTACCTCTTTATTTATAAATGATGTTAAGTCAAAGTCTTTGAACAACAAGATGGTAATTACAGTATTTTAAAACAGGGTTCATAGACCTCATATAATTCAGTTTAATTTAAAGATACACTGTCTTTAAAAAGTATTCTTAATTCCAAACGTTTATCTAAAAGCACAAATTGGATCAAACAACACTGATTTTGCCATGAGACCTGTTAGACATGTTTGGTCAATTATTATCTAAAAAACAATTGTAATCAAGTTTTAATCACATCAAATGTTCAATGTCCAACATATTATGTTCTTAAAAAGGAACAGAAAATAAAATAGCTTTAACAATAAAATAGTGTTTACTATATTTTCTAAAGGTTCCTCTACAACTATCAAAATCTGACTATTCATTGAAAAAAGATTTTTTAGTTTGTTTGTTTCCTATTTGTAGGAATAATTTAATATTTAAATAACCTGTAACGCAAGCACACTTTAACTCAAAACATTTAACAAAAATATGTTAAGTTTCAAATGACAAAAGGAAATGATACATGACATTTAGACCAGCCAGTTAAAGGCAAATTTGTTAGGCTATAGAATGGCATAATTTGGTTGCAGATAAGCCTACCACTTTTTTATAGTTTTTAAAGCAATGGAATACATATTTACACACTTTAAGTATGCCTCAAGGGTAAAATTACTTTTCGAGCCTTGTATATGCAATTCATAACTGTTTCCCTTCATTTTTACACGCTCTTAAACGCTCAGCTTTACGGTAATACCGTAATACCCACTCTGGGTCAGCTTGAAACGTGCCTGACTGAAATGCACAAGCCGCAACATTTTCTGTTTTATCTGCTCATCATATATATCTTTTTTTAATTCTCTAAAATACATAAATATGATCGAATCGATTAAGTGTAACATTATAAGATTCAAAAGGGGAAAAAATAAAGAACGACGGAAAAGAGAGGTCCATCGAACAGATGACGTATTACAGCGGGTCCTTGCTTTTTCCGGGTCGGTGTAAATAGTGTGCGGGCCTGTCATACAAGTCAGTAAAATGTAAGTAAACCATTTATAATATAACAGCACTTTGTTTTAGTGATATAATGTATCTTATTTATAATTATCTCCGTGAATATGTGTCTTTGTCTGCATTAGGTCGAAAGTAACGTTTAAAATCACGCTGACGTCGGACCCTCGGTTACCATATAAAGTGTGAGTGACACATCATTCAATAAATGACACACATTAAATATTAATATTCATGTTTTAACGATTGTATTAGCCTTGATTTGGTTGATTTTATTGATTCTGATAAGAACGTTTATTAAATGTGCCCTAGCTCTTTAGCTCGAAGAGTTAAATAGTCCCCCCCCCCTCTTGATTTCATTCATTAATTTCTCTGTTAATTAATTAAGTAATTAATAAGACAATGGCCTGACTGGGGTTTAGGGGTATACTCCTAGTATTAGTTTTTTTTTTTAGTATTTTAGTATTTTTAGTTTTATCACAGCTGTGAGCTGAGAAATGTAAAACGGTCCTAGATAAAAATAGGTGAAACATTTTAACTACTAGATATCATCATACTTCCCCATGTTGATTAATAATAGTACTGTTTTGTATTACACGTTTTCTAACATGTAAATATTAAATATGCAGATTAGGCATTATCCACAATGAAATCAGGTGATTGATAAATGGCCAAACCCACCTGTCAAAACCATCAGAACATAGATAGCGATGAAACTGCAACAGTTTATACAGAAGGTGTATGTTAGTGCTACTGAAGTTGAAGTGGAGATTTCTGGCTCAGTGCATGAGAAAAAAAAAACTCATTTTGAGTAAACAGTCTTTAAAGAGATGCATTGCAATTGAAATCTACAGATGCAAATAGTTCAACTGTTGTAAAATATACTGTACATTTTCTTTCTCCTAGTCTGAAAGAAGCATAACATGTTGTTGAAGAAAAATAGCCAAAAACCTCAAAATTGACCAGTGCATGGGGGCGAAAAAAACAGTGTTCTTCATCTGTCTGCCATATTGATTACAATCACTGTAATAGTTCTGTGGTCAGTGGTAATCTATGGATGTCATACTGTGTCTGATGGGTGGGCAGACACACATTCTGTGTGGGTGAGAGTGGTCTATCAAGTGCCATTCAAACAGGCTGATTTACCACCTCAGCTCAGAGCACCTGCAATGCTTATGGTCACCGGTTATTTTGGATGATTTTTAACATGCCAAGTTTTTGCAAATATCTTTGATCTCATTGAGTGGCTGAAATATTAATATATTTCTGCAGTCATCAAAGTTCTCATATATCTCAGCTCAGCTATTAACCCATTTTAAACTCTGTTTCATCACATTCTAGGGTTACTATTATACATAAAAACCCTTATACAACACTGACGAGGTATACTGAGATAAAAGACAAAAAAATAAATTATCCCATCAGTCACTATTGTTGCCGTCAACATGTTCTATAACCACACACAATAAAACTGAATAATTGTAAATACATATATTAATACTAAACTCCTTAAAGATAATGTGTACCAAAAGTCTTTGTAATATCTTTGTTAACATACTTTACTGACCTTTTGTTTTTGGAGCTTTGATGCAGCCGTCATCATCTCATGGTGCAAACAGGAAGTAAATTGCCCTGGTTATGTGACAATTTGCACTAACCATGTGACATTGCACATATTTAACTGAGACCCTTTATTTTTTCCATATTTGCAGGAAATGCACTAAAACACCAGTCGGTAACATTTTTAGAGCTTTATAAATGAAAACCTAATTTATGATCAGTGTTGTGACTGATGGGATTAAATGTGATCTCGTGTAAAACAGAATTAGACAGTAAGATCTCTTGAGCTTTGTTTCTTGACAAGGCACATTCACTAATGCTTTTTACACAGGGTGGTTCTCATTGTGTGTGTGTGTGTTACTGTTGCACCAAGATTCATTGGCATAATTGTATTTCAGATTAAGTGTACCTGAGAGCACGCCGTTCACGGCCGTTTTGAAATTTGCAGCGGAAGAGGTGAGTTGATTCATCTTCTGTTTTTAATGAGTGTTCACAGTCTTATTGCAACCTCTTTTGAAAATGTATTTTTGAGAGATCTGCTGAAATGTAGGACTATGCATTTGCTTCTGACTGACGATAGTTTAAAAAAATATGACAAATTCTCTACAGTGGTTGGAGTATTACTAACTCTCTGTCAGATTTGCTTATTTCTATGCAATCATTGATTAAACTGACAAGGATCATAGCAAAGATCATGACGTGAACTTTACAGGGTTTCTGCGGGTCTTAAAAAAGTCTTAAAGTCTTAAATTGTACAAGAAAGTCTTAATTATGATTTCAAGAGGTCTTAAATTTGGGGACGGAAAGACCAGAATTGCGATATGGCTGAATGTGACGATTAAACTTCAAAAGGCTATGATTTCATGATATAAACATGAACGCTGCAGGTTCAAAGTCCGGTGCTGCGCTGCTTTGTGTACAGCAGTTTCCGGGGAAACAGTTATATTTCTACCAAACGCACTACCTGCTGTCAGAGAACGGATGAGCATTTTCAATAAAACTGTTGTTTTGTTCAGAGTTCAGACAAATGCAAAAATCGACCCATGTTTTTACCCTGCAAACACGCAGAGCTTTAAATGTGAACTGGTGGATCGATAAGAAGACAATGCATTATAAAAATCTAATAGGGGTGTGCAATATGCATGGTCTGCGATAATATCGTAATAGTTTTTTTAACGATGTGCAATTTGATATTATCGAGTATATCGCGAAAAGCAAACAAAACACCTTCAGAGTGCGCAACGATGAAGTCTAGCAGGTTAGACTAGTGCGCGTGCGCATTTATAGTGCGTTCTTCAAACCCGATTCCAAAAAAGTTGGCACACTGTACAAATTGTGAGTAAAAAAGGAATGGAATAATTTACAAATCTCATAAACTTATATTTTATTCACAATAGAATATAGATAACATATCAAATGTTGAAAGTGAGACATTTTGAAATGTCATGCCAAATATTGGCTCATTTTGGATTTCATGAGAGCTACACATTCCAAAAAAGTTGGGACAGGTTCCTGTTTTTGCTCTATTTCTCCAACAAAAATCATTCCAAACAAAGCCAAGCGCTGTTTTGCATCTCTGAGCAACATGACGGTGTTTCGTTCATGAATGTATCAATCGTTTAAATGATTCGGTTCAATCGCAATGACTCGCTTATTAACAGTGACTTGCTGCCACCTACTGGTGGTTTTAATT